GTGAGAGTTTAATATTGTGGATTTACATCATTAAGACCACATCTTACAGGTAAGACAAGGAGTTGTTTATTTGAATCCAAATATTTTTCTAAGTTTTGATTAATATTAGACCAATTAGGTAGTTGAAATGTAAGGTTTACCTCTGATTTAGACTGTATTTTGTTTTTCCCTCTCATCACTCCTGTGTCTGATACAGAAGAACAGGTAGTGTTGTCACAGCAATCAGCTGTCCCAGGAACCCTGCCAAGAAGCTCCAAGCTCTTGGCAGTAGTGTTGGCACAGCAACAAGCTTTCCCGGGAGCCCTGCCAGGAAGAGTGGAGGACGAGAGGTCCACATTCCCAACAATGGCCCCCCTGCTGGAGGTAGCAGCTGAGGAATGTGTTGTATTGGTTACAGGAAGAAAGCCAGAACCTACTAAATCACGTCTCAATTAACTAAATTGGGTCTTTTTAGATCCACACAAATCGGGCTGCTCTCGAGCTGCAGATCCCAAATTTGTATTTGTGACACTTTCCAATGAACTGTTACAGGTTCCACACCATGCCCCTGACAATGGGGATGCAGCTGGAAAACTGTCCACTCACAGCTGCAATCTCAGCATGCTTTCACCACCACCCCCCCCCCCTCCCCCCCCCCCCCCCCGCAGCACAATTGAGACGGGCTTCAAGGCTTCTAAATGATCTGTGTCTCCACAGAAATTTTCCTGAGCTCTCCTGCTTCCACCCCATTCATCTTTCTGGCCAGAGCCATCCCAGCCCTGCTCAACCCCTGACTGCTGCCTGCCACCTCTGTCCTGCCCCCTGCCCACTCCTCTGCAGGCAGAGCCAAATCCACCAGCTATAACCAGAGGCTGGGGTGCTAAAAGCACTGAAAACACTGGAAGAGGCTTTGGGGAGGAATTAGTATGAAAAGAGTTCTTGGAACTGCAAAGCAATCTTCCTGCCTGAGCCCAATCTGAGGGAGTGACTTCCTGGGAAGGGGAAACTGTGGCAGGGGTGTCCCCCACAGCCCCTCAGCCAGGCAGAGTGGATCCAGAGCTCCCCTTGGCAGTGTCCGCCTGCACAACTTCAGAACAAGATCCATCCACAACTTGTTCAGAAGAGGAGCAGGGCACAGAAACAGCAGCCCCTGTTTTGCAAAGCTTCCCCAAACTCTCATCTCCTGGACCTGTTCGACTCCCAACCTCCCCAGAACATGACTGCCAGCCCCCCAAATTCTTGGAACACAACAAAAATCCCAAACGCTTTCCCAGGAATTCTGGGGTCCGGGGATGGATGATTTCACATAGGAATGAGAGGATGCCTGGTCGCAGCATCAGTGATGCAGGGAATCCTGGAGGAAACAGAGGACACAACTGAAGCTGGAAGCTGATTTGATTCCCCTTTCCTGGGGATCAGGTTGCTGTCCACACTGCCTGAGGAAATCCTGTACACGTCAGGAGAAGGGAAGGAACCCCAAACAAAACCCGAGATCCCCACGGAGGAGAATGAAGAGCCAGCACCACTCAGAATTAAAGTCTCAGAACCAGGTGTTCTGTTTTGGTGTTCGAGAAAGTCTCTATTACAATCATACTATTTACAGCTCTCCATTAAAACTCTGGAGACAGGCATTAGTTTGACCAAAGTCTCTTCCTTTTTGAAAGAGACTAGATTGTAAATTTTCCAGTTTATCTGATCCCAGAAATCAAAGGTGAAAGCAGACTTCAAGTCTATATTTTAAATACTTGCTTTTACCCAGATTAATAAGTCTTAGTTTATGTTTTAAGATGTCTGAATATCCTTTATCCTGTAAAATTGTCTCAAGCTGGTAAAAGATACTCAATTCTGTTTTAGATAGATTGTTTCTCATCTCATTGCCCAGAAGCCCCTGAAGTTGCTACTCATCACTTACAATATCAGCTAGAGATGACAAAGGGAATGGTCCATTCCTTCTATTAACAGCCTGGGCCTCCAGCAACAGCACTGTCCACGGTCTTCTTTTTTATTCCTCTAATCTAACAGTCCTGTTCACAAAAGAGCACCATTTATCGCTGGCCAGGGGTCTCTGTATACATCATGAACAGGATGAGACTGCTAAGGAACGCATCTCGAGCTGTTGTATTTTCCAGCATCAGTCTCATTACATGGTTATGACAATGGGAAGATGCCAGCAGCTCACATCCCAGGCAGCAGACAAAGAACTTAATGTTACAACTTACTTTAAAAGTTTTTTGACCAATCGCACAAAGCAAAAGCATATTGACAGTAGTTCTATCCAACCACTATAAGCACACATACCTTTGGTTAAAACAATGCTTGCTTATTTCAAATACAGTATCTGCTTGAAAGCCTTAAAACACAATGCACAGAGCTCCATTACTAAGCTTAGAACTTCCTAATATCTGGCTAGATATACTTTTCTGCAGCTTAGGGAGTTATTCTAGACAAGCATTAATAGACAGACCATTGTTCTATTTGTCCTTACTTTTCTACTTCTCATAATTTTTCTGCTGACAAATCTTATGGCTACTGCTTAGCTCTAATTGCAGTTCTGCTGTCTCTGAGGCCTGTCTTTTGCAGCTTTCCCAAAACCCTCTGATTTTAAGGATTCCTACAAGGAGCTTTCTTACCAATTACTTTATTTGTTAGTAACAAGTTGTTATCCTGTATTGATTGGTCACTGAAACTCCCGGTGTGTATGTGCAGGAAATGTTGCTTGTGAGAGATAGTTTCCATTTTTCTATCTAACGGTGTAAAAACAGTTTATACAGGTGCTAGTTGTTTTTCACCCAGGAATAGATTGTTATGTTAACAAACTGCTCACACCAGAATTGCTTTCGCACAGGAATTTGTAAAGTGCTACTTGACAAGGCCAGCCACTGATTCCAGGAGACCAGGCCTGATCTTATGAGGCCTTTCTTTTATGATTTTTCTACCTTACTGCAACATAATCCTGGTTTGCATTAGGAGGAAGAGCATTGCCAGTGGGTCAAGGGAGATCATTCTTCCCCTCCACTCAGCCCTGGTGAGATTGCATTTGGACTGCTGTGTCCATTTCTGGACTCCTCAGTACATGAGTGACATGGAGCCTCTGGAGGTCCAGTGGAGGGCTATGAAGATGATACAGGCATTGGAGCATCCAATCCAATTGGACCTGGGCTCTTATCAGTGTTGCCAACCAACAGGAAGAAACAATGGGCAGAAATGATGCACAGGAAATTCCACATGAATATGAGGAAGAACTTCGTTACTGTGCAAGTGATTGTGCACTGGAACAGATTGCCCAGAGAGGTTTTGGAGTCTCTGCCACTGGAGATATTCAGGAAGCGTCTGGACACAATCCTGTGCATTGTACTCTGCTTGAGCAGGGAGGTTGGATTAGATGACCCACTGTGGTTCCTTCCAATATTACTCGTTCTGTGATTCTGTGACTTTTACTTTAAAGTGATATTGCTGCATCAGTGAAAATATCTGTTAGTTTTTTCTTCATCATAAATATAAAAGCCAAATCAAACTGCCTAGGAAATAGTAAATGAATTCTGAAATAAGAAATTAAAGCAGAGCTAAACTCATATTTTTGAAATTTACCAGGCAAGCGGGAGGTGAGGGAATTTTGTAAGCTCTTAGCTATCCTTAGAGCAGGTTGCATTGCAGCAAGAATCTTGAGTCCATGAACTTTCATTTACATTGCTGACAGTTCTCACTTGGCTGAAATTCAGCTGAACAGTAAAGTGTGTGGATTTTCAGTCTAAAGACTGGGTTGTGAGGCTTTTTTCATTATGATGGTCATATCTGCAATGAGAAAAAGTAGGTTGTACATTTTTTCTGTTTTTTGCATCTCTTGAAGTTATTCCTATCCTGTGTTTAGTTGAAAAATAGGCATTAGAATTTGAACTAAGAATAATATACAGTTATAGAAATCTTGTTATAGAAGAGCAATATGGGTTTTATCCTATAATTTTGAGGAGTGTGATTTACCTTTTTTTCTTCTTCTGCTGAAAATAGTACACAGTCATGCATCCCATCTTAGGCATAAGCAAGAATTTGAACACAAGCGTACTATATTCACTTCATTTCTGTGTTTCTTGACCCTATTTTTAAAAGTAGGTATGAAAAGACAAAAACCATTTAATTTTCCCTAATTTTTCTCTTCTCTTATTTCTGTAGACTTTTCCTTTTATTAAGAAAAAACTGAACACATTAGGAAAAAATAATGGTGGTATCACAGTAGAGATAGCCTTAAAATTAATTTTGGCTGCTTACTAACAACAGTAAGATGAACAAGAAAAACCTTACTTGCTTTTAAAACAAAACTGCCAGTTCAAAGGAGGGGGTAGGGTGGAATAATTTTTTTGTAGTTTATTCAAGTAATGCCTAAATTAACATAAAGTTGGGTATCTAAAAAAAAAGTGGAGGTAGTATTGGATGGGACACTCAGGACTGTAATGAAAGCACCTCTTCCTGACTTCTACCCACTTGTTTGCTCTAGTAAATTAAAAATTGCATCAGGTTGCACAACAACCAGAAGATGTGCGAAACTCAAAATGGTTGTGTCTGGTAATTTCTCTACTTATTGTATGTCAGTGTCACACTTTTAAAAGGAAAGGCTAATACTTTTTGTGAATCTCCTGCTTATGCCCCAGGGTATACTTGTATATATAGTGGAACAGATTTCGGCAAACTAGTTCCTAGCTCTTACAAGGATCTGTAAGATACAAATGTACATACTCCTGCTACTGTTTTATTCAGAAATGATATCCAATAATTGCTATATCTGCTTAGAGGCAGCACTTAATGTGAAGTGATTATAATGTCTTCTTTAAAACAGCACAATAAAGAGAGATTGCTTGGTTGGGAAATCCTATAGTGCATACTGTAACACAGTGTTTATTGTCAAAAAGTGCTGCTGTCCAGAAAGATTGAAATGTGGGTGTTGAAGCTATAGTAAAAGTTATTTTAATGCTTACTGATTCTTTTTTTGTTTTGTTTTAATTATTTTTGTTTCCCTTTTCTTTCCTAAGGTTTGGAGAAGCAGTTAATGGAAATCTGGTGGTTGGTACACTAGCCTGGCCTTCTCCATGGGTTATTGTGATTGGTTCATTCTTTTCAACATGTGGTGCTGGTCTCCAGAGTCTCACTGGTGCACCCCGGCTATTGCAGGCCATTGCAAGAGATGGCATTGTACCATTTATTCAAGTGAGATTTTTTTTTGTTCATGTGTTCATGTGTTACAGTATTTTGAAAAAAAAAAATTGACACATTATTTCAGCTGTTCCTGTAGCATGTGAAGAAAAGATTTGGAGCTCAGTTCTATTTGTGTACAATAACTGATCAGGCTATTGTAGGACAAAGTTTGAGCTTCAATATTTTTGTGCAGTGCAATTTAATTATATTTGATTTTACACATAAAAGTTGGTGGTTCCAAACTGAGAATATAGTATTCTATAAATGGAAATAAATGAATTAAGAAGCAATTCATAACTGAACTTCTAGACTCTAGGCTGTGTTTACTGCTCGTATTTGTGAACAGAGTTATTTAATCTCACTATGGAACTGCATAAAACTTCTCATATTACAGAGATGAAATTCTAATTTTTATTCATTTTTGTAAGGTAAATTAAGTCAGTAAAGATGTAACAATAGAATTCTATCCCATTACTCCAAATATGAAGATTTGTTCCAAGTGCATGTTTTAAGAAGAAATAAATCAGATTTTTCTCAAAGTAAGGGAGCTGGCAAACAGAAGATGATGAGAGAATGCTTGCTGGGCTGCCTCTGCAAAACCTAAACTACACTTGAGTTAAAAATAAGTAAATAAAACTCCAAATGATTATACTGTCTGGAGAGCAAAGCTCTGATGTGTATGGTGAAGTCTGGAGTTTGAAAGCTTACCTCAAGACTTGCAAGACTATCTGTAACAAGAAATAAGTACACTAAATATGCTACGATGGAGGGACTGAGTAGTAGTGGAGTTTGACTTGTCAATGGAAAGGGGCTGTAATGGAGTAAGTTGTAAGTTCTGGGTAGTGTAGAGAAAAAGAAACAAGAAAGATTTACTTTTGCCTGAAGCAAAAATTTGGCAGAGAGAAGGTGACATGATTACATGTCCTGAGAGTTAGACTTGAAAGGAATGGAGAATCAAAAGGAAAGATTTGTGGTTCGGGAAGTGAAAGAAGGAGAATTGAAGAGAAGCAGGATATTTAGAGGATTTGACACTTGAGAATGCACTTGCTGTTTTGGAGTGATACGGTTACTGCATGGATAATCAAGGAAATGGAAGGAGATTATTATAGAAGCAAGACTGACTTATTTAAGAAAAAAACTCTAAAGATTGAACCATGAGTAGAAAAGAAAAGGATTTTAATAAAATAGTAGGAAAATTGATGGAGGACAGGAAGCTAAAAGAAGAGGACAGCATGGAGAATGAATGAGGTCTTAATTTCTGTATTTGTATGGAGGAATATAGAGGAGAATAAATACCACTGGAATCTCAGGCATTTTGCCACCTGTCATCAGTATGGCTGTAGAGAATTCTCCACAAAGGAAATTACCACATGCAAAATGTTTTTTGGTAGGGCACTGTGCAGGATCATAGTCTTGTCTAATTTCTCTTTAAGGGTCAATATTATGTTGGTAAGTACTGAATTGACACCTAATTTCTGTCTTACAAAAGTACTGGCCTAAACTATATTAGCTTTTCACTAGGCATAAATCTCTTATGCATATGTTTTTTAATTTTCTTAAGAATATTTCAATGAGAGCTTCCATAGGACTTCAATGTTATGTAGTCATTGCTTACTTTAGTAAGCATATTTCATATTGGATATGTGTGTTTTGCAATTTTAATTTTGGCTTTTCACAGGATAGATTGCATCATTTTCCTTTGTAACTAATAACTACTTTAAGTTCGAGTTAGACTAAATAAGTTAGTTCATGATTTGCACCAAAGTTTATTACTGTATAATGAACAGCTTTCCCTAATCTTACTATGAACTTGAATTGAACTAGATATTTGGCCATGGAAAAGCAAATGGAGAACCAACTTGGGCTCTGCTTCTCACTGTTGGTATTTGTGAAATAGGAATTTTGATAGCCTCATTGGACAGTGTAGCACCGATTCTTTCAATGTAAGTATGAATGTGATGTTTTATGTTCTTAAGTTAAATATTTTCTATTAAAATTAACTAGGTAATTATTTTTCTTTTTTAAATAATACATGTTGGACTTTGTTTTCTATCAAATTATATTCCTATTTGATCCTGGAGATAATATGAAACAAAAAAATGTTTTGACTGAACTAATTTCTAGGCATAAAGAAGTTTTTCCATGACAGAGGTCTGGAATGCTGATAAAAATATGTTCAAATTTCAAAAAACTTGGATTTTAAAAAAATAATTACTGCTATTTTAGGTCAAGTGCATCTAACAGAGACAGACAAGATTCAGTCTTTTAAAATATGAATAGAATTTTTTTTTAATTTATTTTTTCCAGAACATGATACCATCTGAGCCACTATAGAAAAAGAAAAAAATTAACTCTGTCCCAGCCAAAAATGATACACCATGATTGTCAGTTAGTTGCCACGTTTGTCTCCAAAATACGTCTTTGAGCCTCTATATTATGATAATACGATATTTTGAGGCCTAATATTCTGTAAGCAATATTAATATGTGTTTTGTGTTCTCTTGGCCACTGTGAATATAGTATACAGAAAACTGTATACTAGTATACAGGAAACTGGACCTTTCCTTTTTTGGATTGTGTTTATATTTTAATGCACATCTGCCTAGTATGTTTCTCATTAGAAAATGCTCTTCCTTTCTTAACAGGTTTTTCCTTATGTGCTATATGTTTGTAAATCTGGCTTGTGCAGTTCAGACGCTTTTGCGAACTCCCAACTGGAGACCTCGTTTCAAGTATTACCACTGGTAGGGAATATTTCTTCATTCAGAAGAGTTAAAACTAACTATACAGCCCTAAATTTTTAATCTTATTGCAATAATAAAGCAAAATCTCCCTTCTGACTTAAATGAGTTATGATTCATGCACTCAATAAGAGCATAAATTGTTTTCATGTTTTTAGAATAGCGCCATAGTAACAACAGTAATCATGAAAATGTGTGGCTAATATAGATGGTTTGGAAAAGGGTTACAGGATGACATTTTATTCTGCTTAGAAGCCAAGACATTTTCTGTGGGAAAATGAGTATGAAAAACCATGAAATCTGCCTTGTATATATACTTAAGGAGAACTGGTAAAAGTGTTCAGGAAGGTTAGGACAATTTTTATTTTGGTTATGCAAAAAATACACAAACCTAAAACTTCTACAGAAAAAAGTCTCATTCAATACACATCCATTGGTTCATTGATGATGTGATGACTGGTTTTAAAATATGCTTTGGACATTGCATTTGATAACTGAAGTAAACAAACCCTTTAAAAAATGAGTAATACAGAAGGTGAAAGTGTGGGTTTTTTTGGTTTAATCTTTTTTTAACAGGTTAAGAATTTAAACATCTCAAACTAAGATTGGGAAACTTCTTGATTTTTTTCTAACTGTATGTTAAAAGTACATAGCTTTATTAAAAAGAATTCTATTGAGAAATTTTACTGCTGAAATAACCTTAAATACTAGAGCATTTAGTAGATAAGCTGGCGTGATTTTGGGATGTAAGAGTTACTTATGGCTTTTCCTTTTAAAGAGTTGAGTGAAAACAAAATGTTGCAATTTTGGCTTTGATAAAACTTGTTGAATCTGCTCTGTAGTTACATACTAGTTTGACACCTAACCCTCCAAATACATACATTTGGCAACAATTCATTTTTGTATTTTTCTCAGAGACATCAGTGACGCAGCTGTGTGACTACCTCTAGCCAAAGCAGGTGTTGGAATGTTAGCAGGAATTGGGGTGGCATTTTCTTTTCTGAGTGAAAGTAGAGTCTTAGATTAATTCAGGCATGAAAGAGCAGCTGTTGTTTTTTTATACAAACTACAAGACTGATGTCCTCAGAACTTGTAGAAAGCATTCCCTTAGTTTAAATTTGAACTCAGTGCACTAAAGTACCAAACTAAAGGTACCAACCAAAGTTAAATATATCGACACCCCGTCAAATATAGTCAAAGTTAGCTGTAATTTGGAAATTGGGTGAAAACTAATTTGGGAGGTTGTATATGACTAAAAGTATACACAAAACTGTCGATTTTGAGATGATTTACATCTAAATTGGATAAACGTGGGCAAATCAGGCATATAGACTTAAGTTTGGAAATTATTTTGTAATTTTTTCAGCTTACATTCATTCTTCTTTGTAACCTTTAGAAGATTGTTTTCTGTATTCTATTGACTTATGTTATTGGCCAAGAGACAGACCACAACAGAAGTGAAGAATAGAATTGATGAGTCAAATAGAATTTAAACTAATCAACTATTTTTGCTGGAAGTAACAAAGTTGTTTTTTACTGTTTGAATTTTTTAACTTAAATTCAAATCAAGAGTAGTATGTGATAATGTGTTTTGAAACTGAGTTTACTTGGAGGTATTAAAGTTTCAATACTGTATATACTGCAAATGTAGTAAATCTATTGTTATATCTAATTTAGATGCATTATTTATGTCACACAAAGGTTCTGAATGCAATTTTTTCATATAAGCTAAAATTGGGACAATGCATTTTTTATTTTATAATAGCTAAAAAATAGACTTTGAAGGTGAAAAGTCTTTCTGGAAGTTAAATAAGAAATTAACTTTGTAGAACATTTGCATGCCTATTAAAAAAATGGAAAAAAATGGTTTCTTTTAGGACTCTTTCATTCGTGGGGATGAGTTTATGTCTTGCCTTGATGTTCATTTGCTCTTGGTACTATGCTTTGATTGCCATGCTAATCGCAGGATGTATATACAAATACATAGAATATAGAGGGTAAGACCATATATCTTATTTATTCTATATTTAATATCTTTACCATTCAGCAAAAAGCTCTTTTGTATAAAACAGATACAATTGAAGTAATAAAGTTCAGAGTATTCTTTGAAACAAGGTAAGATCTGATCTCTGTTAAGGGTTGTAAGTTTTCCGATTTGAATTTCTCTGGAAGATCTGTTACATACTTTTCATCAGTGAGAACTGACAGAAATAAGAGCAAATAAGTCTGGGAAACTCTCGCTGGAGAAGAGACGATGGTGTAATTTTGGTACTTCAGGAATATTACCTTTCAATATCAAGCAGCAGCTATTACAAGACTGTAGATTATTATTACCTTGTGCAGAAGCTCAAACACATTTTTGTGTGTGTGGACTTGATTACTTTCTAGAATTAATCTTTAAATTGCAACATACTTTGTACTGTATGCATTTGTCAAGAGACAGTCATACCTGTAGGACATGCTGAGCAACTATGAGTCTTAAAGGGCATGCTGTGTTCATAAAAAAACCCAAAAAAAACCAAACAGCAAAGACCTCAACTAAATAACATATAGAAACACTACAGGTAATTATGATCAGTAAAGGTGCATGCTGTCCCTTTCTAAGGATAGATACCCTATGCTGAAAGAAAATAGTAATATCTTGGAGCAGGAAATTGAAGCTAGGCCACTGTTTTGATGGGTGATTAAGCACAGCTCTAAAGTGGATCAGCTGGTATAAACTGTTCCACCCTGTGGATCCTCCATCTTTTAGTATCTCCATTTCCAGATTAGATGCTTTCCTGGATTATAACACCTCCATTTACAGGTCTAATGATAAGGAAATTAATTTCCCGATTTTAGTGAGGAAGTCAGATCAGATGGTAACAGTTCTGCATGTATATATATATATATAAAATATATATATACATAGGTTCATACATAAAATTATGCATAATTCCAAATTTATATATAATTTCTTCAAATGTTGGCACATGCCAGGACATTTACCTTGCTGAAGGAGATGCTTTACTAGAGGTAGCTTAGCTCAGAGAAAATTCATGAGTGAAAATCAGAGGGAGGGAGGGTGGGCAAGGGAGAGGGACCCCATGCCGTTATAGTATCCATTCTCCTGACCAATTTCAATCATCACTATTCTATATTGGAATTAAAAGGACTGGAAAAGGTAGGGAGACTGAAAATGGTCAGGAGAATGGTTGGAGCTTTAGGCTTTCTGGGAGAGAAGCTGGGAAGGAAAGAGAGTGGAGAAGACTACAGTGGTGGTGTTGAGGGCAAGATACGTTATACTAATCCATGTGAAGTCAAGTTTCATTTACTAATTTTGCTGCTTTAAAATAATTCCTTTTTAAGTATCCTTCACTTATTCATTCTAGTGCTAAAAAGCAACTTAAGTAGCTCTCACCATTACAAAAATGCTTCTGAAGTATAAAATAGACCATAGTAAATACTTATAAATATGGAAAAAATTACCTTGAAGGGGTCTGGAACTGCTTCATCTTGGTTAGTCTTCAATCTTGATTTAAGTCTACAAGACAAGGTTTTTTCATGCATTCATGCAAAAAGAGAGTGATCATTTTTTACATCCATTATCCCCCACATGAGAAAAAGTACTTGATCTGTATAAATAAATGGGACCCTGTTAATTGAATCACTTTTGTATCCTGAAGAGCGGAAAAAGAATGGGGCGATGGAATCCGAGGACTGTCTCTGAATGCAGCTCGCTATGCTTTGCTTCGTGTTGAAGACGGTCCTCCTCACACCAAGAACTGGAGGTAGAGTCCTATGTTTCTCAGAGTCACTTAATTCTTGAAATATGGAAATATATTGGAATACTGCTGGTAAAGCAGTGAAGTAAAGATAAAGTGAGATTCACCTTTAAAATAATGTTTTAACTTGGGCATGGCAATTATGTCATTGCAATACTACTATTTTACTGAAACGGAATGTGACTTGTGGTCATCAACTTTGTGGCAAACTAACTTCACTTAAATCCATATAGTGTTGACATGGTTTTCAAAAGTGCAGAAGAATTGTAATGTTTGATTATTTATAGATTTTTCAGAGTCAAAGAAACAGTTACCCTTGAATCTCACTGTTTCTACAGAAGAAACTGCAATTCCATAAGAACAATTCACAATTTTTTTTGTTTGTTTGTGTGTATGTTTCCTCTGAAATACATTGTACAAATCTATAGAGGACCCTTTTTTGTTTAAATTATTTTTGTGGTATTCTTTTTATATAGCTTCATTCAATAGTAGCACTTTCTAAATTGCTTATATGCCCTTAAAAAAAAAAATCTCGCATTTTACTGTAATGGAGGAGTTAGATGTCCTCTACTATTTTTGCAATATATTTTATTTAAATTTAATTTTTGTTAAATTTAATTTTCCTCAAAGCCAACTTTAAAAGTTACTTAACATTTAAAAATAAAGGACGTTTGCACATTGTCACTTCTGATGAATATAATGTGATACTTTAATTCTAGTCACTGCTCAGTGATAGTATCATGGAGTGCAAGCACATGCAGTATTCTGTTGTCCTTCAGTACAATGGCATTACTTTACCATTTTTCCTGGGACTGATGAACTTGGCATCTCAGAAATACCAATGTAATGTAGCGTTGACAATCCTGTTAAACGTTTGACTGCTTCAGTTCCAAATGAGCTTTCTATTGTGTCAGTGTAATTGCTAGAACTGAACGATCTTATTACATCTTAAACTGTGCTAATTTTGAGTACGATCCAACTTGTCATCAGTCTTTTGAATTTGTAGCAATGACAGGAAAAGTATAAAATGTTGATTTGGGAAAAGTAAGTGGATTGAATATTGATTAAAGGAAACAGAGTGCATCCTCATCTAGTATGCAGTTGAAACTGAACTTTGGTTACTCTTAGTATGATTAAGGAGTTGACTGTCCTTTTGTAAGGACCTACGCAGGTAGAGGGGTGGGTCATTTGAGAACATCATGAAAATCCAGGATAGATAACTTGCAGTTATCTTTCTATTCTTACCTGAATATGCCTAGTACAGGCATATTCAGAGCAGTGATACAAGACTGGGAAGCTGCTTTCATAAAAAGGGCCTGTGGTTCCCAGGAGATAGTAATCCAGCAGTGTGTCTTGGCAATGGCATGCTGGACAGGAGGACAAATAGTACATTGAGAAGTAAATATATTGGGGGATATTTATTTTTATTTAGTACTCATTAGAATACATTTAGAATATTTCTTCCATGTTTATGTACCATGATGTAGGAATGACAAACTCGAGTAGATACGACCGCAGATGATGGTTGGAGCACAGGGGCATCTCTCCTGTGGGGAGGGACTGAGGGGCTATGCCTATTCAGCTTGGAGGAGGCTGAAGAGGCTAAAGTTATAACTAACTTATTAAACATACAAAACCTAAAAGAAGGTTACTAAGAAGATGGAGTCAGATTTCCTACAGCAGATTAGAGTTGGAGAATAAGAGAACATGATAAAATAATTAAGCACTGAAGAGGTGACCCAGAGGTTTGTTTCTAGAGATTTTCCATATCTAACTGAATGAAGCAGTAAACAATGTTCAGTGTTTAGTCATTTCAAGCAGCAGGTTGCACCAAATGACATTGGAAGAGTGATTTTATCATTTTCTAGGGGAAACTGGTCTTTAAGGGAACTTTTCAAAATGACATTGTGATGGTTTATGTATTCTGTACCTGAACTGTTGTTTGTAATTGCAAATAATGGCTTACCTACTTAGGAGTTGGCTGCTTTCCATTGAATTAAGCAATTAATCTGCATTTTATTAATTCTTAATTTTAATTTTCCAGTTCTTCCTAATGAATGTGTGTGTGTGCACTAAACTTCTTTTCCCTTTGTTTGGCAGACCTCAACTTTTAGTCTTGTTAAACTTGGATAATGAGCAGTTAGTCAAGCACCCTAGATTGCTTTCTTTTACCTCTCAGTTGAAGGCTGGTAAAGGACTGACTATTGTGGGTTCTGTGCTTCAGGGAATCTACTTAGACAAATGTACAGAAACTCACAAAGCTGAAGAGGTATGTAAAAGAGAGCTTGCAAATACTTGTAATTTACATTAGTATTTAAATGTTGAATCTGGATAGCTTATATATTTAATGAGAACAGACTGTTGTGAAATGCTGAATAAGACATCTATTTTTGCTTTCAGCACAATCAGTGATTATATAAAAAGAATGGATTGGTGTATGTAGCAAAATGTTCTATAAAATTTTCTAATAGGATGAGGCAACACTGATACTTCCTAGCTTTTTCTTAAATATGGAGAGTCCCGGGCTTACAATCAAATTACATTAAAAAAAAAATTTAACACCCCCCTCCAAAAAAAACCAAAACACCCCCCCCCCCCAAAAAAAACCCCCAAAAACAACAACAAAAAACAACCAAAACCCAGCAAGCTTTAACAAATTACCTTATAAAGAAAACAGCATATATTTAACAAAATATTTAACTAACAAATGCAAATGTTTGACATAATATCATCCTCATTATGTGATTTTCTACATCCTTCTAGAAATACATATGAGAATCAGGATTAGGAGTACTCTTTACCAGAAAACTGTGAACAGGATCCTTCTTGGGATCCTTTATTTTATTTTTCTATTTATACCATATCTCCAGAAAAAGTAGGCTAGGTAGGAAAAATAGTAAGTTGTTATATAATTTAAAATTATATCCAACTATACCTACAAACACAAGTAAATTTAGTTTCAATTCAATTTCTTTAATAATAATAGTTGTGTTTACTTGCCTATGCAAACTCTCCTCCTCCTATCTTTATAGAGCGGGGAAACATTTGGAGAAACTATCATGTTTCCTGTACTTTTTTGAAATGTCCAAAAGCAGGTTTTGATTGCCATTATATCTTCCATATTGGTTGATTTCTGCAGTGTTGCTCAAAAGAGTACCAGTTGATATGCCTACTATTTTGGTCCAAATAGCCTTCAAAGCTGTGTAAAAACCCATGTGATTTTTTCAAACCTGGTATCTCTTAAATAGATGAGCATTTAAAATCTTGTAATGGACTAGCTAACATAGCTAACTGTCCATTTTCTCACAGTTTTCTTTCTCTTCCTCTTGCTATTCAGTCCTATCCATAGTGGTTTTTAAAATAAGAAAGTATAAAGATAGATTACCTATTTGATATCACATGAAAAGGTTCTAAGAGAACAATTAACTTGAAAACAAGTTGAAAAGTCCAGCCATGCTATATTGTGGAAGTAGTTGTTACTAAACTGTTGCTATCAACATGTATTGGTAGAAAACAAGATGAAGAATACAAAATTAGGCCTTTGAAATAAAACAGGAAAAAACCTTTAAACAGAAACTGTTTACCCACAAGAATTTGAAATGTTATTTGTAGATAGCCTAACTTAACTGTTTTTCTGAGAGATGGAAAATTAATGAGATTAGGCCTCATCCATGAGTTTAACCCATGGATGAAGCCTAATCCATGGGTTTTCTGGAAAGTCAGACCTGATGTTAAGATTTAGGAAACTATTGCTTTTAAATTGGAAATGAAGATGAATTGTAAAAGTTTCAGCATCTGGAGGCCTCATTGGTTCTGGAGAAATTAAACTAGAAAGTGTTTCTAGGAGACCTGTAGAAAATAAAGATTTTCTTCTGTCTGTCATTAAAAAAAAACCCATCTATTTAAACTGATAAACCCTCACAGATATTATTTGTACAGACATACTTGGTATCTTTGCTAGCAAATTCTCTGAAGACTTTTTTCTCTGTTACATGGAGTTTCTGATGTGAAGCTACACTGAGACAGTGCCTGGCACTCTGTGATTTAATCTGTTCCTGACGATTTTTGACAAATTTTGTTTTTTTGTAAAATACAAAATATTTATGTACTAGTTCTTCCTTCTGAAACATGTTGATCTCCCCCACAAGTCACTGATGATGATTGGGGGTTTTAAAGTTATTTAATGCGAAAATAATAATTGCCAAAGCTCATGTTCCCTGGTCAAGCTTGATACCGGTTTGAATGCTTCTTTTAAACTACCTTGTTATGTGTCTTTATGTTTGTCAGTGTTTAAATGGAGGGAAGCTATTCTGAAATTAAAGGAGTGTGGGATACTTAATCTGGTCGGTTTATCTTGTCATTATTTGGACAGTGCTTCCAATTTTCTCCTGCACATCTGTTTTTCTATGTTGGAAGCTGATAAATACTTAGCCTCTTAATGTCAAAGGTATTTAAGAAACTTTGACAGCCTCTTCTTTTTAACTACTTGCATCGCACATCCAAATTCTTCCAATTCCAAAAGAAATGACTGATCATTCCAACCATATGCTGCTTTGTCAGTCACTGGTTTGAATTTACCTGAAGCAGTGTTACTTCATTTATCTTCATCTATGTGTTTTTTTACTCATGTCTTGTTCATTCTTCTTTGGAAGTAAAAGGCTGAATAATTAAAATAATGAAAAAACTGTGTGGTGTCTTTTAGGGTGGTAGCAATTTGGGCTCTAGTTTTCATAGAATCATGTTCATTCTTTTGGAATTAGTAATTTCTTCATATTGGTTATACATTGTTGATATAGTTTTGCTATTATTTAAGGCTGTTATTCCTTCTGGTGTTAATTATCAGTGTTGATGGTTTGTATTTCCCTATGTGTAATTTTCCTATTGCAGAATGTTAAGGCCTTAATGGGTGTAGAAAAGACTAAAGGATTTTGCCAGATTGTGGTATCTCCTAACTTCAGAGATGGAATATCCTATTTGATTCAGTCAGCTGGTCTAGGAGGGATGAAGCACAACACGGTCCTGATGGCATGGCCACAGTCATGGAAGCAGGCAGAAAATCGTTTCTCATGGAAAAATTTTGTTGGTATGTGTTTACTGACTTTCTCATTTGCATTTGTAATTTGACTGTGTGACTAATGTATTTGCTGTGTGGAGGAAATGTGCTACTGAACATCTGGTGGACAATTGAATCTGTATCTGATTTAATCTGGAGTGGGTTTTCTCAGCCCTCTTCAACCACAGGTTTGCTTTTTCTTCTAAGCCGGTTGATCACTAAATTCAGTGTCATGGTTTAGCAATTTAGTGCTCCCAGTGAGACTTTCCAAATCACATTGCTGCTTGCTGTCCCCCTTTGTCTTTCCCCACCTCACTTGGGCTGGGTTGGAGAGAAAAATTTGAGGCACAAAAGGTAAGGACCACAGATTAAAATAAGAACAATTTACTGGACACAGCAATGAAATAAGAAAATTAGCAGTAAGAGCAAGAGTGTTATTAACAGAAAGTATACAAAAAAAGAGTGATTCTCATGCAAAAATGTCCACCATAGAGCTTGACCCAACCATAGCCATGCCACTCCAACCACTCCCTCTGGCTCAGAACTAGTGCCGATCAGCCATTCCTCCTTGGCTTTGAATCGGGCCCATGCTTATTCTACCAGAAGAAACCTCTTCACCTTGGAAGAGACTACCTTAGCCCTGCCCCTGGAAATCACCTGAGGTGGTATAGAATAACCTCTGGGTCCTAGCCATGCCCCCTCCTGGCTGTTGCAAAAATTAACTGTGTCCTGGCCAGAAGCAAAACATTATCCACCCATTTTATACCATTTATGTCGTGCCTGGATTCTAATCCTTCCAACTTATATATATATATATATATATATATATATATATATATATGTACATGTACGTATGTATGTATATGAATGTGTGTGTGCGCATATATATGTATATATATACAAACAAGTATCATTTCCACAGTCGCTATCCATTCCTCCAAGATGTCTCTTGAGTCCATTTAGTCCATGACTGCAGGTTTTAAGTGTTTTCCAGAGCAGGAGGGCTGGTTGCAAGCTGCATCAGGAGCTCAAAACTGGTGCATCTGTCGTAGTCCATGCTCATTGTCCATGGTTAAGTCCACTTCTCCATCATAAGCCCATTGCTATGTTGCATCTCTTTTCCAGTGACCTAAGATATGATTGGCCCACTGAGCCAGAAATAATTCAGCCTATGTTGCTACCTAAGAGACTTCATTCTTGGCTGTCCAATGCACCTGTCCATTGTTGCAATGTACTTCAATAGACTGACTTTTGGGTATGTGTGCATCTACATGATGCTTTTATAACCAACTTCTCTACCTAAGCAGCAATGTCTTGCCACAATTCAGCAGCCCAGGTGGCTTTACCTCTGTGCTGCCAATAGGTCTTTTTCAGTAGTTTTAGCCATCCCCACAGAGCATACATGAGTCAGTTACAGCTAGAGCATTGGCCATTTATTTTGCTCAGCGATACTTAAAGCCAGCTGGATGCCATTCAGCTCCGCAACCTGATTTGATCCACCTTGTCCCTCAATAGCTTCTGTGACTCACCACACAGGAGTCCATACAGAAGCCTTCCATTTTCCATGCATCCCTACAATATGAGAGGAACTATCAGTAAAAACAGCATAACACTTTTCTTTTTCAGGTAGCTGATTATATGGTGGGGCCTCCTCAGCATGTATCACCTTTTCCTCCTCTGATTTCCGTACAAAATTTTTACTTTTGGTTTGGCTTGTCATGACTTCTAAGATGCCTGTGTAATTGGGGTTTCCTGTTCAAGCTCACTGTGTGATCAGCATGACCCATTTACTCCACATAACATCAGTAGCATGATGTATGGAAGAGATTTTTCCTTTGAACATTCAGCCCAGCACTGGCAGTCGAATGCCGGGAGGAGCTGTGCTTTGGTGCTAATCACTTCTGAAGATGCTTGAACCTCTTTATAATATGCAGTTGTAATGCCAGTAGCCCTTTTTCAGTAGGGGTGTAACAGGCATCAGGTCCTTTGCATGCTAGATTCCTGAACCCTAGGAATCATTGTTGAGTCTCCCCAGGTACTGGGGGTTTTTGCCAGAAACTCCAGGAAGAAATAATCTTCTCAGCTGCAGCATAGAGCACATTTTTCACATCTTGTCCTGTCCTGACTTGCCAAGGGCTACTGCACGAACAGTCTTTTGTTTCATTTATTCAAAAGCCTTTTGTTGTTCAGGACTGCACTTAAAATCATTCTTCTTCTGAATCATATAATAGAGAGAACTTATGATTTGACTGTGTTCTGGAATATGCATCTTCCAAAAACCCACACTGCCTAGGAAAGCCTGTGCTTCCTTCCTGCTGGTTGGTGAGAATGTAGCTGCTGTTTTGTTGACCCCATCCATGGCAATCTGATGATGTCCATGTTGCCATTTTATTCCTAAAATCTGAGTTTTCCGGGCAGGTCCCTTGATCTTACTTTGCTTTACGGCAAAACTGGCCTCCAAGATGATTTGGGTTATCTTCTCCCCTTTCTCAAAAACGTCTGCTGTGTTGCACCACAAGATGATGTAATCAATGTATTCCAAGTGTTCTGGAGCTTCACCCTTTTCCAGTGCAACCTTGCTTTCTTATAGCAGCAACTCTGTTGCATACTGGCAGAGCATGGGATAGCTCCTTTCTAACTTGCTTGAGCTTGATCTGTCTGCAGTCTTGGACTGCCAAGGCATAGGTCATTAGGGAGGGAAAAAGATGATCTTAATATTGTTGTAATCAGATATATGTCTGAAGCATTGTTTGTTCTCCTTTCATTGATATCAGTCCCAATGAGTTGGCACACAATGGTGGCACATGCTGTACAAATTTCTCCCATGTGGATTGTGTACAATGGACCTCATCTGGATCTACAGAGGACTGTTTGTTATTTGAATCCCTATAGATTACCTTCAGCACAGCTAATTCTCTCATGTACTGGATACCTTTCTCCATGGTGTTCCACCTGCATGGGTGCAGTACTAGGTCATCCTTGAGAAAATACCTTTCCTTCATGCTTGGCAGGACTTGACTCCAGAGGCTAAGAGTTTCTGTTTTTTTCCCAATCCCCTTGCCAATGCTGACATACGAGGTCAGGGATCTCTTCACTACCATCTAGTTTCATATTACAGGCAGCAATATCCCAGCATCAGAGCAGCTAAGTCAATAGGGGCTCACCCGACTGGTGGCTGAAATTTTTTTTGCACATCTCACAGCTCACCTGGAGATAGGGGTTGGGTGATTATCTCTGGCCCTGTCTGTTCCTCGTGTTGTGAGATCTCTCCTTCCTTTTCATCCTTCACTAAGTGAACTAATTTTGTCTTTGATTTTTTTTCTATAAAGGAGTGACTACTACTGGCACAGGTTGTTCCTCTGGTTCAGCTGCAGTTTGAGTGGCCACAGTGCCTGTCAGTCTGCTTTTCTCCTCTTCCCCCTGAGACTGCTGTCTAGTATTGTGGAGTGTCCAATAAATAGTAGCCAAGGCCCAGCATGTTACAAAACTTCACACCTCCCTGGAATTGCCACAGCATTTTTCTGTCAAGTATTCTGTTACTTTACCATGGTCCTGTAGTTGTTCAGGAATGAAGTTCCAAACCACTGGAGCAGAATAATCCTTCAAAAGCTGGCCCATTTTCTCCCACTTGCCTTGATACTCATGATTATACACCCTTCGGACAGATGTCTGAGCAAACTCCTAAGAAAACTCTGTCACTCTAAACATAGTGTAGACTGAGGAGACCTGACAGACTTAGCACAAAGAATATGATTTCCTTAACATCCAAATGGAATTCAGAATTCTCTGAATATAACAGGCTGAAGGGGTTATAAAAGGCCAGGAAAATGGGATGAAAAGCTGGGGAAAATTATCCTCTCCCATTCCTGCCGCAGAGTATGTATGGTTAGTAAATATGCAAAGGTAGTACCTGAGGTAAGAGTAGGAGAGCAACAGTCAATATATATCCCAAATGATCGTCATTGTCTTTGATGTTACCATGTCATAAACTGACATCCCTCAGTATATCAGCAAAGAAATACTGATCCCTCTTCCTACTCTGAAAAATATAATGAGGAGCACATACAGGAATATACACAGGATTAGGTACCACTCCCACTTGAACAGACCAAGCAACATTGCGACCAGTGGCTCCATACCTAAACCAAAAAATGCCTAGATCAAATTTGTTTCCGACCTGCTCTGGGCAGTCTGTTCTTATCTCAACCCATTGTACCTCACCTCAGACACCAAATCAAGATTGTTGTGGCTTAGGAGTCATACTCCCTAATTTAGTGTTCTCACTGACGCACTCCAAATCATGCTGCTGCTCACTCACTTTTCCTTTTCCCCTGAGCCTGGTTTGAGAGGAGAATTAGAGGCACAAAAGGTAAAGATCACAGGTTGAGTACCATTTATTTGAAACAGCAACAATGTTAATAGCAAAAAGAGAGAATGATGCATATGCAAAAATGCTCACCATGAAGCTCCATCTGATCGCATCTCAACCTCTCCCTCTGTCTTAGAGGTTGTGCCACCTCAACCTCTCCCTCTGTCTTAGAACTGGTGCCACCCAACCACTCCCTCCAGCTCAGAATCAGCACCATGCTTATTGGACCAGAAGGAAGCCCTTCTCTTTGGAAGATACTCCCCCCGCTTTCAGCAACGGCATTAAGTAGTGTAGAGTAACCTCTGGGTCCTAGCCACACCCCTCTTTGCTATTGCAACAATTAGCCTTGTCCCAGCTGCAACCAAGACACCCAGGATATTCCTCTTTCACCAAGACACCTGGAATATTCCTCTTTTGCCTCAGCAGAATATGGGAGGGTTTAATCTTTTGCATTTAAAACAAAAGCAAAATTTGTGTATGAAAGCTAGGAGTCCTTGATTAGATGTCTTGTTTTCCCTTACAGATACTGTACGAGAAACAACTTCAGCTCAACAAGCACTTTTGGTGGCTAAAAACATTGACTTATTTCCAACAAATCAAGAACGTTTTACTGAAGGAAATATAGATGTGTGGTGGATTGTTCATGATGGTGGTATGCTGATGTTGCTGCCTTTCCTCCTTCGACAGCACAAGGCAAGGACAACAGAAAATGGCTGGGATTTAATTTTCTAGCACTAAATGGTTCTAAGCATGTCTAATTAAATACTCCTTCACCTTGTTCAAATTATGCATAGTAATAGCAATCACAGTGTTACAAACTGTTATTTATGTATCTTTTTGGTAGGTTTGGAGAAAATGTAAAATGCGTATCTTCACCGTTGCTCAAATGGATGATAATAGCATTCAAATGAAGAAGGATCTTCAGATGTTCTTATACCACCTTAGACTAAATGCTCAAGTGGAAGTCGTTGAAATGGTTTGTAATTATATATTTTTAGGGTGCAACTGGGACTGAACTTGGGAAAACAGGTTTAGCTTTTTTCAAATAAAGAGCTATTAGCGCCAATATAGAAATTAAAAAATTGTAGTCCCACGAAAAACAAGAAGTTAAGCATCGTTATCTTACCATGTTACAATACTGCTGTATGTGGTGGTGAGTTTAATGGGTTTTTCAAGTAGACTTTGAGATATTTTATGTGTTAATTCTTACTTTATTTATGACTACTAGTCCACACAGCTGGTTCATTCAGAAGGAAAAGCTTGAATTTTTAGCAAGCAGTGAAATGGAAGGCTAAATGTGCTTAATCTAATAAGCTAAGACATATGGTATGAGACAGGATGGACTTGTCTATGTCTCCAACTGCTGTTAAGAATACCTCTCTAGAATAAGGAATCCCTAGGCTCAAATGAGAGTTGTTCTTGGCATCTCCAACCTCAGCCAGTACTGAAAGCAGGACCTACAGTTTCACAAGCCAAGGTAGTAACAAAATGAATTTGGTAACTTTTTTCCTTTTTAAAATATGGGTCATAAACTGTTTAGGTGAAAGGACAAAAGCTATGTCTGTCTTGGCCCACTTTTTTTGGAAACTAAATATGTAATTTCCAGCACTAAAAGGCGACTAGCATAATGTTCAAAGTAAGACTCGTAGGAAAAAAAAAAAACAACCAAAACTTTTACTCATTCTGAAGTGAGATGAAAATGAGTAAACTGGTTGAAAACTTCTAACTTCTTACCACTCATTTATAGAATCACCAGAACTTATTAAAAAAATCATGCTAATTAATCATAAAACTATTTTAAGAATTGTTTTAATTACTTAGGAAAAAAACTACTTGTGAAAAAATTGAGTGTTCTTTGCTTAGAGTACTAAATATGAAAGTCTCAAATGCTGTGGCATGTACAGTTGAAAGAACATAGAGTGTCATGAAATAGCTCCGACTTGGTTGAATTTTGAGCAGGGGGCAATATAGAAAGTTGTGCTTGTTTAAGCTGGGGTAGAATTAATTTTCTTCATGGTGGCTGGTATGGGGCTGTGTTTTGGGTATGTGCTGAGCACAGGATTGATAATATTGGGATGTTGTTATTGTGAAGCAGAGCTTGCAAGAACCAAGATCTTTTCTGGTTTTTGTACTGCCATGCCAGCAAGGAAGTTGGGGGGGTTTGGGAGGAGACACAGTTGGGACAGGTCCCAAACTGACCAAAGGGCTATTCCAGACCATATGATATCATGCTCAGGATATAAGTTGGGGAGAAGAGGGAAGAAGGGGGGAATGTTGGGAGTGATGCTGTTTGTCTTCTCAGGTAACTATTATGCATGATGGAGACCTGCCCATGGGAGGCAGTGAATTAATTCCTTGTTTTTCTTGCTTGAATGCACAATTTTTGCTTTTCCTAATTAACAGTCTTTATCTCAACCCATGAGTTCTCTAGCTTTTATCCTTCTGATTCTCTCCCAAATCCACTTGTGGGGGAGTTAGAGTCTGCATGGGCCTTGGTTGCTGGCTGGGATTAAACAACTACAGAAATACAATTTATTCTTTTCTTCTGTGGGTAATATTTAATTCTGAGAATCTTCCAGAGGATAAGAGATATGTTACAAGTCAGTGACAATACAGGTGACTGGTATAGATTTTTATGTTGTATTTTAGTTTTCAGCCAATATGACAATGTATGCCAGAATTTCTTGCTATGGCAAGAAATGACTTTGTTTATGAACATTTCTCTCTGATCAAAGCATAATGTGTTATTTGTGCCTAACAGTTAGTTACAGTTTTTAAAGAAACAAGTGTCCACACATGCTCAGGTGGCAGCAATGCATACCCAGTTTAAGTAAGTGCTTTCAACTCTCATTTCTGCAGCCTAGTTGGAACAGAATAGTTAGTGGAAAGTCTGTTCCAAGTACCTAAAATTTAGATAAAATCACAATAATATTGTTACAGTAGGATAGTTCACTGTATGAAATTGCTGTTTTAAGAGTAAGCTTTAAGAATGAGGACAGAAGTGATTGATCAATTATATGCTTAGGATTACTCTAATGAATACATCCACCAAATGAATACAGGTATGAGAGATACACTATCTAAATGTTGTCCTTGTAAGTAGTACTTTTCTTCTGGTGTTACTAATTCCAATTTCTTTTGCAGTTTGAAAACGATATTTCTGCATTCACATATGAGAAGACACTTATGATGGAACAGCGATCTCAGATGCTAAAACAGATGCAGCTATCAAAGAATGAAAGAGAAAGGGAGGTAGGATCTTCAACTTGACAGGATGTTCTGTGAAAAATCTCAAAGTATGATCTAATGGCTGTAGCTTCTAATCAGTTTCTAGCTAGTCAAAAACTTTCATAACTGCATTTCTCTACAACCAGTTTTACTTGCAAGATTAAAGTTATGTGGGGGAAAAAAAATTATTTAAACAGATTTTAAGAGTTTTCCTGTTTTTGTTGAGTGCAAGTGTTGATTAACAAAACATTTGAGCATCAGTGTGGAATACATTAAAAGCCTTTCCAAACTTGACATCAGTAGCTAAGATTCATGATTATGCAACTGGACTGATTATCTTTGATTGTAATTTGGTCTTAGCATCATACAATCATTTACATTGAAAAAGACCTTTACGTCAAGTCTGACCACTAACCTAACGCTGCCAAATCCACAACTAAACCATGTCCCTCTTGTTTAAATACCTCCAGGGACTCAACTTCAGCCAGCTCCCTGGACAGCCCATTCAAACGCTTGATAATCCTATCCATGAAGAAATTTTTCCTAATGTCCAATCTAAACATCCTCTGGTACTACTTGAGGCTATTTCCTCTTGTCACTTGTTACTGGGGAAAAGAGACCAATCCCCACCTCACTACAACTGTCTTCCATGTAGTTGAATAGAGTGAGAGAGTCCTTCCTGAGCCTCCTTTTCTCCATTCTAGAGAAGCCTACCTCCTTCAGCCACTCATCATATGACTTACAAATACACCATATTACACAATATAATAGACATTTGTTCAAATCGCACTATGTTTTAGTTTCTGCATTAGTTTGCATATTTTATGAATCAACTCCTTTTTTTTTTTTGGAACCAAAATTAGCCCAACAAACTATAATCCTCTAATATGAAGATGGAAATGCTGGTTTTGCTGCTCCCCTATCTTTATTATTTTGCATATTGTACCAACAAGCTTCATTCAGCTGTAATTTTATGAATATTTGTAACTTACAAGTCATTTCCTTTTGGTTTGTGCTTCTACCCCCTCATCTATTCTGCTAACTCTTCAGTATTATCAAGACATTTTAGTGATGTAGAAGATAGTGAATGCTCTGGCTTTGCCATCACATAAATGATTTCCATCCCATAGCAAACAAGAACTCCACTGTCTTTAATTGCTCAACTGTATAACAGCTAGATTTTTTTTCTTATGGCTTGTCTTTTGTGGTGTTAATCATACAAGTCCGAGCAGTTTGGGGGTTTTATGTTTTTTTCCTTTTATTTGTCCTCTTCTCTCTATTAATTTTTCCATCTCACATGGTTTTTTAAAGGTTCCTAAAGATGCCTGCTATTGTTACAGTTTATTGCTGTAAAACATCTTTCTTATCCATGTCATGGTAGTTTTCTTTCAATTTGAGCCTGCCTAACATCCTTAAAACCCAAACTTTTCTGTACAACTTATTCAGCCTTATTGTTCCTTTTCTGAACAGTAGTATTTTTCCAGTGGAGTTTATCTGTTGTAGATTTCGAAGGATTTAACTTCCACATGATTAGTGGAAGCTATTGCTCTGTATTCTATAGCACATAAATTGCAGAGAGATGAAAGAATTTCTTCTCAGCTCTGAGCTGGTGGGAATCTGAATTATACTTCAGAATATTGTTTGTTTGGAAGTTTTTATTTCCTTCTATTCCCTCCATATAATTTTCTTTATTACTCACTTTTATCTGAACTTTACCATCACCATTATAGCATCAGTTTCTTCCTTCTTATCAGGCAGGGTAAAATCTGAACATTCAAAACACCATTGAATTTATTTCAGGGTCTGAAGTAAAACCCTTGGTAATTCCAGGAACGTCTAGTACTTACTGCCTTGTCCAAAAATAAAAGTCATATTCATTGATTGTTTCTGATTAGAATATCTAAATCTACCTTGTTCTTTTGTATTTTCATAAGAAAATGTGATTTATTGAAGTGACCGCCAGAACCCAGGCTAACTCTTAGAACTCCGGTGCAACGCCAGGAGTGGGGAACTGCCTCAGTATGGAGATTTACCAGAGGCAGAACCTTTAGAGCCACTTGCTCTAAGATGCCAGACACAAGCCATGACAGGGACCAGGCAGAGGAGAAAGGAGAAGGCTCCACAAGGAACAGTTTATTCCTCCTGAAGAGCAGGACAAAAAGCCTCCACCTCTATTGTGCAAGGGGTTTTGTTCAGACGCAAGTCAGGAGGTGGATACAAACAGCTAACCAATAGGGAATACTCAGGGGAGGAATGAGGGGATTACATCAAGTGTCTGGGGCCAACTGGGGTAGGAGGGTGGAGAGGATGGGTCACATGGGCCAATGGGGCTTCCAGTAGTAGGGGAATTCCAAAGGGGTGTTGCAGACAGGGATTGGCCCGAGGTTTAAGTGGCAGAGAAGGTTTGGGAATCAAGGGTTGGGATGCCTTGACAGGCAGGGAAAGAGCTGGAACAAGGGGCAGGGAATGGCACGAGGGATAGCTTTGAGGGAGGGTAAAACCAGGGGTAAACCAGCTTGGGGAGAACATGGGGGTACAACAGAATGAACCACTTAACAAGGAATCATTAAAATAAATTTGAACCACAACAGTTTATTTATGTCTTCACTTCTTCTGGAGCTACAAGATTAGTGTATGCACTCAGAGTGCCTGGCCCATTCTTACCCTAATAATTTTTTTTTTAATTAGCTGAGCCATTCTTTTCAATTTTTTGCTGACGTCCAAAACATTTCTTTTATTAGTATCACTAGTTCAAATTAGCATTGCTTTTCATTTTAATATCTGTCTCCAGGCCTTCAAATATAACCTGGTATTCCAGTTTTGAATAGTGAGTGTAGTTTGGTTTCCTGTTACCACCAAGATTAGTACTTTAACCTCACTTTTGTGCTTGCATGCCTTCAAATGAGGCTCAGACCTTCCCGAAGTGGAGACTATGGTTTTGTACAGTGTTTATTTGCTGTTTTAGTCATAAGCATGCTTTTACCCCTGAGCAATCACCCTCATCCTCCCTTCTCCTGTCACTTTTTAAAAACAGAATTGATTTAATCTTGCCTCTGGGTTTTCTTGTAGAAGTGGGGATCGAGCACTCATCAGATTTTTGTTTACTTTTTTTGAAAACTTGTTCAATTTGTTTCTATTTGGATATAAATATAATAAGTACCTGCAAAACATAACATAGGCAACTTAGGTATAAATGGTAAATATCTATTTATTTGACTTAGTCAATAGTGCTACAAAGGGGAAGGAAAATGTAGAGCCTCATTCCCTTTCTTGCTTCCATTTTTGGTGGTTGTTGGCTTCTTTCTCTGGTTAATTCTCACTAAGGACTCTTGGGCAAAGCAGTGTTAATCGGACCTGTGAGAAGGTAATAATACTTTGCACCAACAAATTGTCTTGGGTTGTGCTGTTAGGTAAGATTGGCAGAAATTTGGGTGAATGCAGGTGCGTGATGCACGGACAGATGACTATTCAACTAATTAAAGTTGAAAAGAAGGGTATTTATTGCAGCACACTGGACACGTGTGGAATCATTTCCCAATACATGTGCAAGGAGTTGCAGATTCCTGCTCTCTGTTTTGATCTGCTGGTCATGGTCCAAGCCTCTCCTAACTATTTGATTATTCTTAAGGCAAGGTATTTCTATGGTCTCTGCTCCTTCACAAATGCTACATCTATCCCTGTCACTCCTAGCTTCTCTTTCCTAATGTATTTGCTACTTTTTAACTAAGGTACTCGATTCTTGCCACCTATATTACTAACTTAGCTTCTTAACTAATTTTAAAATCTTAACTAAAATATGCAATCTTCTACTATTCCAGATATATACCCAGCTCACCCCTCAACTCATCTACAGTATTGAATTATCCTAAATACATTTCCAGCTGACCCCTTGACTGATTACTGTTTCACTGTTTGTGAATAATTAGATTTTTAGGTTTTTAGGTTTTTACAGTTGAAAAGTAGCTTTCTCATATGCTTTTAGTTTTTTCATGCTTTTGATTGTAATTGAGTGAAAAATTTCACCTGAATATATACATATATGAAAGGATGTGGCCCTCAAAAACAAGTGAATATTTGAGCTTCCCATAGAGATGGAAGGACTCAATTGGCTTCCTGTTTTCACAAATGTCTGTAAAGGGACTTCATAACTAACTGCTAAAGATTTAAAAATGTTATCCAGGAGGAGGCAATCAGAGAACTGCTGAGACACTTGGATATTCATAAATCCATGGGACCAGATGGGATCCATCCTAGGGTGATGAGGGAGCTGGCAGATGAGCTTGCAAAGCCACTCTCCATCATTTACCAGCAGTCCTGGCTCACTGGCAAGATTCCAGATTACTGGAAGCTGGCCAGTGTGACTCCCATTCATTAAAAGGGTGGAAAGGAGGAGCCTGTTAATTATAGGCTGGTTAGCCTGACCTCAGTACCCGGCAAGGTTATAGAACAGTTTATACTGAGTCTTCATGCGTTGGTCTGTTGGAAGGTAGGAGGGCTCTGCAGAGACTTGGGATGGTTGAATGGATGGGCAAAGTCCAATAGGATGAAGTTTATTAAATCCAAGTGCTGAGTCCTGCATTTTGGCCCCTGTTAATAACTCCCTGCCATCTTGTAGGCTGGGGATGGTGTGGCTAGACAGTGCCCAGGTGGAAAGGGACTTTGGGGTACTGGTCAACAGCCGGCTGAACATGAGCCAGCAGTGTGCCCTGGTGGCCAAGAAGGCCAGCGGCATCCTGGCCTGTATCAGGAATAGTGTGGCCAGCAGGACCAGGGAGGTCATTTTTCCCCTGTACTTGGCACTAGTGAAGCCACATCTTGAGTACTATGTCCAGTTCTGGGCCCCTCAGTTAAGGAAGAACATTGAGATGCTTGAGCGCATCCAGAGGAAGGCAATGAGGCTGGTGAAGGACTTGGAACACAAGCCCTATTAGGAACAACTGAGGGAGCTGGAGTTGTTTAGCCTGGAGAAAAGGAGACTCAGAGGTGACCTTACTACTCTCAACTTCCTGAAAGGTGGTTGTAGTCAGGCGGGGGTTGGTAACTTTCACCAGGCAGCAACTGGTGGACACTGGTGGACAGAACAAGAGGACACAGTCTCAAGCTGCATTAAGGGAAATAGAGGTTGGATATTAGGAAAAGGTTTCTTATAGCAAGAGTGATAAAGTTCTGGAATGGTCTGCCCTCATAGGTGGTGGAGTCACCATCCCTGGATGTGTTTAAAAAAAGGCTGGATATGGCACTTGATGCCATGGTTTAGTTGAGGTCTCTTCCAACCTAGTCATTCTGTGAATTTTGTGAAAAAGAGCCTTTTGAGCTGATACCACATTTCATCTATTAAAATGAAGAATAATATGATATCTGCTTTTTTCTGTAGACTTTTTTTTTGTCATTGGTAACCTTTTTGTCCCAGATTCAGAGCATCACAGATGAGTCTCGAGGCTCAATTAGAAGAAATAGCTACTCCAGTCCATTGTCCATTGTCCAAGATGCTCAGGCACTGCTGACTAATGATTATCAAGAGGAAGAGGTAGCTCGACATAGTGCTGGCTATGACTAGACATATTTTCCATTGCAACACTTCAAGTACCACTATTGCAAACTGAACTACACATTAACTACAATTTTCTCTAAATTAATTATGTTACCTTGTATTTCTTGTCTTTAGATGATGCTTCTCTGACATGAGCTATATTCTCTTTCTCACACTTATTTTCCATAAAAGAAACACACTACTGTGACTGCCTGTTTTCTTAAGAGCCAGAAGCAGGGTATTACATTAATAAACATATTTAGTGCTTTCATTGACTTCTTTTATAGTTCCTCTATTGAAGTACTGAAGATTCTCGGAGACTGTACTGATATACTACATCTTTTAAGGAGCGCAAGCCATTTTTATTTGCAAGCTATTATTAACCCATATATGTCATTACTGTGTTCTGTGGGGTGACATTGAAAGGAAATGAACTGGTGTAATCAATGAGTTTGGTGTGCACTTGAAGTGTTGCTCATATGTAAAATGTGTAGCCTAGTTTGTAGAAGTGCTGTATAACTTTGTATTTCCCTTTCATCATGGAGTGAGAGAACAAGCTGTTGTGTTTCATTAATTGAATTTAGTACCAAAATAGCACTAACAAGAATGTGCTTTTGTTGTGTTTGCATTTTTATAAACATGTATTATAGGTCCAGAATTTCTCTTGGTCTCACGGTCTTTCTGAAAATGGCAAATTTTCTTCCATTGAAGCATAGTTGTACTGAACTCATCTTACAGTTGTTCCTTTGAAATTTTAGTACATTGGATACTGCTGCATGGTATTTACAATATTGGCATGTATTTGTTAGCTTTTTTGATTCTCATGATAAAACTGTATTCACAGTAACTTCTGATTTGTGGTCTTGACTCATCATTTAATCATCTGTGAATGTAGGAAGACCATCATACTAAAAGATATTTATGTGAACCTCACAACTGAACTCCAGAATTTGGGAATCCTGAAGGATAGGGACTAGGAAATAATTTAGGGAATATACTGAAGCTCAAAGGCATTTAAAACCACCTGCAATTATAGTTTGTGAACCACTAGAGGAATTGCTTTTCTGAGAATGAAAGTAAAATTCTCATCTGCTTGGATTTTATTTATGGTTTTTATTGACCTGCACGAAATTCTTAATTACCAGGTATGTGGAGGAACCATGACTATGTCTAACATGTGAATAATTAGATTCCCAAATGGAACAGGAGCTTCAACTCATGATTTAACAAGTCTCTGAATAGCTTTCAAAACTGTTAAATATCTTAAACAAAAAGCAAACAAACAAACAATCACAGGATAAAATAAATACCACCTCCAAAATAGAAAATTTCAAAGCACAAAAAGAATCCTGTCCCCATTTACCAATTCACTTATAATTTTTATAGTCTAAGGTATTGTATTTGTGTTGTATTTGTTGGAAACAGAGAAGCCTATGGACAAAGTATTATGAGGGAAGTAAGTAAATAATGTTTTAGATATTTAATCTTCTTTTCCTCCAAAGAAGCAAGGAGAGTGGAAAATAGAAAACACAATATTCTTCCCACATGCATATGCGCTTTTTTTGTTCTTGAAATTGATTAGAGTTTTTACTGTTAAAAGGGAAGAGAAGACCCCTTCATGGCTAGATTGGTTAGATTTGTTATGTAAAATGCTCTTGTAGGCATAAATCATCTAAATTTATAACTAGACTTCAAATCAGCCAGTCCCATACTGGCATCAGAGATTCATAGTTGTAGTTCAGCTAAAGGCATGTGAAATGGACAATGTTTTCAACAGTATCTGAGAAAACAATGTAACTTGTGAACAATTATAATACTGGCTTTAAAGTTTTTCATTGGCAAAACACCTTGATGTTAATAAAGTACTCTCTGGTGGAATTCAACCTCACTTTAATTCATTACAAAAGTAACATTCCACATAAGATATAGTCTTGCAAATATAAATAAAATATGAACATTTTTACAGGCAATTTCACTTCATGCTGAAGTCACAATAGTCTCATATTTGTTCACAAAGTAAAGGTGCATTTTTCTTCCGCTTCTTTGGTTCTACCACTGTGAAACTCCTTTTCAAAACTGTAATAACATGTAATTTACAAATGCTGATTTTGGCTGAATTTTGGGGCAATTATTTGTTTTGTGGCCAGGCTCAGCTGATCCATGATAAAAACACTGCCCCACGCTCTGCTCCAGCAGTTGAAGCAAGTGTAGCTGTTGCTGTGCCAGAGAAAGTGCAAATGACCTGGACTAAAGAAAAGTTTGTAGCAGAAAAGCATAAAAACAAGGATTCCAATGTGTCTGGCTTTAAAGATATTTTCAACATGAAGCCGTGAGTATGCATATGGTATTTGGAGCTTTTTATTTCATTATGTGTATTTTACTGGGGGGGGGGGGGAGTGCTTCTAGTTTGTTGTTTTATCTGGGTTTTGCTTTTTAAGAGATTCTGCTTTATTTAAAATTGGATACAAAAATGAGCTTTCCATGAACTTAAATGTCATCCTTAGAAAAATAACATAGACTTGGGTGGAATGACTGTAAAGAGTCATTCACAAGAATGTTGTGAGTGAAGTTTAAATATGACAGCCTTTAAGCTGTTAACTCAACTTCTGGATTGTACCAGAAAGCATATGTGTTAAAAAGCTTAATTATAACTTTTTATTTCTTCCTGTGGGTGAAAAATTAGTGTATATGTCCCTGTATTTTTATTGTGTTTGGTATTAGAGGGAATTCCAAATAAGCAGATAGCCTTTCAAGACATTTAGCTTGTGTTTTTGATTTTGGCCATGGGGGGTGTTTTCTTGGGAAGAGATGGGAGTGGGATGGGTTGGTTTGTTTGTTTGTTTGTTTGTTTTAATGGACATTCAGCCCTCATCCTGTAAATTAAAGAAATAGAAAACTTGTGTAAATGTAAGTGTATTGCTATATTAAGTATTTCCTGTTTAAATATTCTTTTATGTCTTTTTCTTAAATAGATAAGAGCTACTCCCTGTGTCAAACCAATGTAGTACACACAAAAACAATGACAGAGGGAAATCAGCTTGTTTGTTTCCTCATGTGGTGATTTTAGGCATGCACATGCATCTTTTCTTAGTTCTGCAAGAAAACTGCACTTAGAAACATAGCTTAAATTATTTTCTGCACATGACCAAACCAAAACTGTGGATGTCAAGGGAAATAATATCTAAATGAAACACATCTTAAATCTAGGACTAGTAGGCAATGCAGTTAGACAGCGTATTTAAAATTAATACCTTAAAGTCCTAAGTCCTGAGTCTTGGATTTGCTTTGAGCTCTTTAGAAACAGCTTGCCTTCTGCACGTTCCAAAAATTATTGTGCTCATGCTCTAAAGCATTGTCCTAGGCAGCATTATACTCTAATTATTAGGGGTTTTTAAAATTTATATCTTTGAAATATTTCCTATTACTACTTTAGAATTGTGCAAAACACTGATTTCAGATGTTATTATTTTAAGACTACTATATATAGTTGGTCAGAAATTACAGTTCAAACTTGGTGTGCCTGTACAGTATATTAATATTGTTGACTTTAAAATGTACTACTACTACTACTACTACTACTAATAATAATAATAATAATAATAATAACAACATTGTTGACTTTACCTGATGGCATAATTTTTTTTTTCTATGCATTTGCTTCCCTTTCACATAGAGAATGGGAAAATCTGTAAGTCTAAATTTCACTTCACCTAAACAACATAGGCTGGGTTCTTTGGTTCTTGTGATCTTGTACATTGTGTGCATGCTTCTAAATTGTAATTTGCAATGCATGTATTTTTTTGTTCCTTGTTTAATACACTCCGATTTAGCATGTCACTGAAAAAATATCATTGTGACTTTTTAATATTCTCTTAAATATGATCAACTTTCTATTCAAGGTAAGTCACAAAACCTGTGTTATAGTTTCTGTGAGAATATAAAGCTTGACAGTACTTCTCTGCACCAACGTAATATTTAGTGTTTTAATTAACTACATTAAAAATTATTTTTTTCTGGAAAAATAAGCTCCCATTGTTCTATAACTACTTGAACAGCAGGGAATATTTGTTCACAAAGGGAACTTTCATGTTTCATCAAAAGTCAGTTCTTGGCTGCCTTCTACCAACCCATGCATGTGTAGAAATAACATAAGTTTAGACATACTTTGGGTATGACAGCACACAAAAATGGAATACTATATCTCTTGAGTGGAACTCACTTGACTGCTCTGCTTTTTTTCAGAGTTCAGAATTTTCTAAATTTTATCTGCTTAACAAATTGAGCTTCTTATAAAAATTTTGGAAGTTTATTTTGTCTACTGTGTATGATTTCAGTTCTACCAGTGCTTGAAGGATAAGTGATGTTAGCCTCAGTTCACATTTTACACACCCATGAGCCTTTATTTCAGTGCTGAATTTTTGCCCACTCTGTCACAAAGTTACACCCTGCTTTTTATTTTTAGTTTAACAATGTTTCAGTTTCAATATTTATGCTTCTCAGTTGGACAATCTTGCCTCTCTTCATAGTTCTTTTTAGTCTTCTCAAAATGCAATTCTGCTTCCAAAAAATGGAACTTCAAGCTTTCCTTTGTTCCATATATAGTTTTTGTACAATTGGTTCTTAGAATAGCTGGCCACCATGATAGAAAATCCCCTGGGAGAGACTGATAAACTCAGTTTTAGAAATATCATTCTCTTATAGCAGGGAAGACGGGAGGTAGCAGAGTATGAAGAATCAATTTAATTGATAGGGCTGGTTTCCACTGGCCACTAAATTTCAGGCCAAATTACTTTAAACTATTTATTTGGGGGAAAAAACCAAACATACAAACCCTACTTTTAGGCAGCAGATTTTGTAGATAAATGGACTAAGGTAGAGTTTGAATATTTTTGTCACACTGTAGCATATTACTCATTTCCAACCTTGGTTAACTCTATACACAGCTGTTTCTCAGGAACTGTAAGGAAACTGTTCTTTTGTTCTGAAAAAACACTGAACCATACAAAAGAGATACTAAAATAAGGACATTTTAAAAACCCTATCAGTTTTTTCTTCTTGTGCACAGATCTAAAACAATTATATTTGTAGGTGAAACATGGAAAATATTAGGTAATGTTGATAGTGTAAAGGGATAAGCTCAATTTAATTTCACTGCTTACTGCCATACAGTTACAACATAAGAAGTTAGCAATTTTTTCAAAATTCTATGGTGTTTCTGAATTTTCTTCACCAGCTGGTAGAATTTAGTAATGTTTCCAAAGGAGCATGAGTAAAATCTTTTACTGTACAACATAAATATTGTGATCTTTCCATTGCATTCCTGCAATTTCATTGTTTGGAAATTCTTGTATAAATCCAGTTTCTTTTTTATGTAAGTCAATAAACAAGAATCCTAGTGGTGCTTGTCTGACCTGTAATATCTATTGAAACCATTTTTAATTCATCTTAGTAAAAGATAATTGACAACTGGAAGATTTGTGCATTTTGACAATTTACTTGGAACTGCTTGAATTTCAGAGTTAAACATTCTTGTCAAAAGGATTGCATTTTATTTCTTTTGAATATGTACTTAATATGTACTTCTTTTGAATATACTAGTATCCATGAAAATACCTTGTTTTACATACTTATAATTTCAAATAAATATTGTATGATTCAATTACTTAAGTGTTATAACAATACTTAAAAATGTTTCTTTGCATGCTAGGAATCAGTCAAATGTGAGAAGAATGCACACTGCTGTGAAGCTCAATGGAGTAGTGCTTAATAAATCACAGCATGCTCAGCTAGTCCTCCTGAATATGCCTGGACCTCCTAAAAACAGAAAAGGGGATGAAAACTGTATCCTCCACTGTATTGATTCCATATTTCATGAAATTGAGAATTTCATTTTTGTGATTCTGCCATCACCTGTTGGGATAACCATTACTAAGTAGGGTAAGCATAAGTCTGCCTATAAGAAAATGACATAAAGAGAGTTAAAAAACAAAAGATAGAAAATCTTGATTGGGGGGGTGGTTTATTGATACAAAGGATTTCCTTAACTTTGAAATAATTTTAAAATTTCCTATTCTTGTCTTTTTTTGTAGATAAGTAGGGCAAAACTAGAATTGTGCCCCAAGTTAGGCTTAACTTCCACTTGAATAACCAGGTAACAGGACAGTAAAGGGTGACACAGAAATACTCTGATGAAATTGTTGAACTTTATTTTTTCATTATATGTCAGACTTTTTGAGAGGTTACCAGGTATTTTATTTCTCTTCTGAGTAAATTCCTTGACCAAATGATATTTCAGACATGGAATTTCTGGAAGTTCTGACAGAAGGTCTAGATAGAGTTCTCCTAGTCCGAGGCAGTGGACGTGAAGTGATCACCATTTATTCTTAATCTGTTTGCATGTGTTTTTCAAACACAACAGACCCCCCACCATAGGAAAACAAAGTTTTTGCCATAATTTGAGCAGCTCTGTTGTCTTCTAGTGCATTGAAAATTAGCTTCAAGCTGAATCTTCTGATGATACGGTTTTTTTTTCCTAGGAAGATATTCTATTTAAATAACATTTTAAGCAGATTTATGTAGAAAATTAATAAATGGTGAATTAATAAATGGTGAATGGCTTAGGATATTTATATGTAGCATATTCTGACACTTCTTAAGCTGTGGTAAAACAAAAAACAATTGGTAATGCAATCATGTTTTTGAAGATATAGAAATGTCAGTGATTTTTGATTATTTTAATCTTTGCTCTGCATCTAAATAAAAGGGAAGGGTTTTAGAAAAGGTTGTCTTTTTTTCTTACCAAAATGCTGCTATGTTGCTTCTTTTGGAATTAGTTGTGGTTCAGGAGCCTTCCTTCAGAGTTATACAGCCAGTCAAATTTGTTTATGAAGTGCATTAAGTGTTTCCCAGAAGTTCATTATTTGCCATACCTGTTAAAAATAACATTTCTGTATTTAAAATACTTAGGTAGCTGAAACCTCCGGATGATAGTAAACAGATAAGCTGTGTGAGTTCTTTTCTATGAGGTACTGGCAGTTACCATTATTTTGCATGCAATAATGAAAGTGAGAGCATCCAACTTACAGGAAAGCTATGGTGCAGGAACTCCACCTGATTCCAATTTAATTCAACAGTTGATAAACCACCACAAGGTGGTTAATGAAATGCAGTCTCTTGTTTTCAAATATTTATATTTTGAAAATGTTGTATGTATGTGCTGCTGTTTGAAATAAAATCTGCTTTTCTGAACTGAACGAGCTCCTAAATGTTTTTCATTTGAAATTGTTGAGTAGTTTAGTTTAGGTGCTCAATAGAAACCTTTTGCTCCTGTTACAATTCTGTTCCTTTTTAGGCAGTCTTTTTTGTAAATGTTGTTTAAGACCTAAAGTGTATCAGAAGATTGTTCTGCTCTAAAAAGAGTATGTCTGTTTAAACATATAAGCCACTATTTTATCTATTTTATTTTTTCTTTTTTAAAATTCCTTTATAATACAATCAAGATGTCTGTTGCTCAGACTAGAACAAGAGTGATGCAGTGCCCAAGTCCCTGGCTGGGCTCGAGGCCAGTGTTTTTATCATAACACTCAGGTGATGTAAGACAAAGCCTGTCCCTGTAGTTTGATGCACAGGAACAGAGGGAACAAAAAGGTAATCAAGCGGCCCAGTGAACTCCTGATGAGTCAAAAGCACTGCTGGGATACTTCAAAAGGCAATTGGAAAGGCATGCTGCACACCAGAATGTCCCCACATACCACTCGGTGTGACTGCAGCTCTATGCCTTTGGTTAGGAATAGGTTTATGCATAGGCACTCAGAGGTACCTTCAGGGCACACCAAAAACACTCCTTGGTCTTTTAGGTACAATGAAAACACATGGAGGTCCTGTGGACAGATCAGGAGGCATGTGAAGGTTCTATATTTGCACAATATGTCAGTTGAATTAAAAAACATTCTCAGGCCAGTGAGGAGAAGAAAAATTGTAGCAGATGCCCCTACTGCACTCCAGATGGCTCTAAGCTTTTCATGAGACATATTAAAAGGTACTCCTTGGGCTGTGGTGCAGGGCCATCAGCAGGCATTTATAGAACTGATATGTGGGGTTGTGGGTCGGAGACAGAAACATGACACAACCAGTGGGTCATCAGCAAACAGCAATGAGTTTAATATGTCTGCCCCTTTTATAGGGACTTGGGATTTCCCAGGCTCAGATAGTTGATTGGATGACCTCTCTCTGCCCAGTTCTGGCCAGTGGTGTATCAGCATCTAAGCTAGAATAGGGTTGGCTGGGATCTTTGCTTGGGTTTGAATCCAACCTATCTGTGCCTTATCCAGGGACTTGTTTTCTTCTAGGTTAGTTGAGTTTAGGGGGCAGCTTCAGATCAGCTGCAATGTGACAACAGATGACTGCAGATAGCTTGTAGTAAAAGGAATTATAAAAATTTAGTTTAGAGAAAGGCTTTCAGAGGCATCTGGGACCTACCAAAAGCTCTGTGAGTTCCCTTAGATGCAAGGCAAGACTGACAGAGGTTTCTGTGGGCATACCAGAAGGCATTTGAGAAGCTTGTGGAAGTGGTAGAGAACAAACCTTCAAGCTGGAAAGTACAAAACATTAACTTAGACAGGAAGCTTTTGAAGATCGAACTTCAGAGGAAGATAGGCTTCTGAGACTTTTATATGGGCTTGTGTGTTACAGGGACCACCCATGCTGTGATGGAGGAGGACATGCAAACACTTACATGCTGACTTCATTTTTTTGAGATTTGCTTGTAAGCTCACAATATTAAGAATTACAGGCTATGAGTTATCAAACACTATGATTTAAAGTGGTGGATAGGTGGGATAGTCACTTGCAAGACTAGTCAGGGCAAAATGCCATTGAGGCCTTTTTTCTGGTGGTAGTTTGTTATATTTCCTAATGATCTCATAAGACAGAGCTACAGGACAATTTTGCCCCTATTCTCACCTGCAAATCTATCTCTTGCAACTTTTAGATGTGTCAAGAAGTGAGGCAAGAATCCATTAACTTACAGCAGTAAACATAGATCATGGATACTATCGGCAATGATGAGAGAGATGGGGAGACTGTGAGATGGTCAAAAGAATCCAAATTTATTGTGGACTACATTGCTTATATAACTATTTTAGGAAGACTAGTAATGATTTAGTACAATACTTGGGTTAATCATCACATAAACAAACATACATTTTACAACATCTCTTGCTTGCAGAAGTCTTGATGTCATTTTCTTTTCCAATAAGTGAGTCTGATTTAATCTTACTGCAATCTTCAAAGCTGTTTGTTCTTGCCAAGGCATCTTGATTTTCAAATGTCTTATGTTAACCAGGTCTAAAGTCCATCATCTGTCTTATGTGTCCCAATATCTCCCTCTTCTCTTTTCAACCAAAACCACTCCTTTAATGCCCTTATTAATAAATCTCTGCATTCATTGAAACAAGCAAGGTATCATGATTAATACAATTATTATCAAAAACCATCATATACCCATCTTAAAAAGAATCTTTTAGCTAAAAACCTTAGCCACTAAAGGCTCAGGCTTGATCTTAAAAAACATTTCTGAAGACAGCCACAGGGGGCGCATTACTGGATTTAGAAAGTCTGCCAAAAGTACAATTGCACCAAAAGTTTTGATTCTCATATCCAAGTTGATAAGGAGAAACATCCCAAGCTTTAGAATTTTTTCTTCCTCTGTGTTTAAAATTAACACAAAAATCCAATTTCACAGAACCCAGGGGCTCTAATTCTTGGGGTTCTGAGGGTGTTTCAGGAAGGTAAGGGGTCAATTTTGATTTGATTTGATTTCAAAATTTTTAGTGTAAATATTAGTGTACAGTTCTGGAGGAGCTATATTCCACCCTATTTTTTTTGTTTTTTAATAACGTGTGTTTCTCATTATGAACATGAAGGCAACATAAAAGCAAAACAATAAAAACAGTAAACTTGTACTAAGTAAAAATAAATTAGATAATATAAACAATTAGTAGTACATGAAAAATAGAAGGGTGATTTGAAATAATGCATTATCAATTTCTTAAACATTGTACTGTTAGAGTTTGTAGTAATTGGCAAGCTTCCTTTTAAAGTAAGAGCTTGGAAAACCATTCCTGGGTAAGATTTCCAAGTTCACTTCAAAAGGAGGTTTACCTATTATAGGTCTAAATTTGGCAAGTCAAAATTACTTGAGTATAGTTTTGGTGTAGAAAACACTTGGGTTTATTGGTATATTTCCCTACAATTAAGGCCAGGACTTGGCCAAGGTCCAGGGTTTAACTGGAAGAGTCTTTTTAATATCTTTTAAAAACCTCTAAGTAATAGCAGTTAGAAAATTTCTTTAAAATAATATGTCTTATAAATAGCTATATAACAGTATGTGGAAGTTTGTAAATCAGCTGGCTTTGTCATTTATCTTTAGCTAAATAGTAATAAAAAAAAGGCATTAAACAGCTTACAACTGATAACAGTCATAATATGAAAATGATACTCATTTTTTAGTACTACTTATAAATAATAAAATAGAAAAAAATGTTCTTATTTCTATAACAAAATAGCTGTATCTCGCAATTTAAATGAGCAAATTCTGACAAAATTAATTTAGGCTTTACGTCATTCACTTGTATAGCAAGCGGGCAAACCTGTGAGTGGTGCGAACAGTGCCGAAACTTGGGGGGAGGTTCCTTGCCTGGCCCCTACTCTAGGGCAGGGGCAGTGGACAGGAAGATGGCTCTGGCCATCTGGTACTTGGCCAGGTGATCATTAGCCACAAACTGGCGACAGTAACTGCTCTCTGAAGTGTATGTGCTCCTTTCTGATTGGTAAAGTCACGTTCACATTATTGCCCGAAAAATTTGTCTATGTACTAGCAGCAGTAGTGTGCAAAGAAACTTCCTTAATATTTATCTTTTTGTGTCTTGGTCCTCATGACCGAACTTTTGAACTTTTCTCCTTTGCGCGTGCGCTTTTGGTCCCTTGGTGCTTATCTGAGTACATCTGTCGGCCTTGATTAGCTTGGAGGCAGAGGAGTCCCTTTATCTGGGCTCTTTTGCATCTCTTGTTCTTCTCTGGTATTGTTCTTTATGCAAGAAACTTCAGAAATTTGCATTTTCCTATGCCCTTTGTACTGTGGCAGAGGTTTCTTAAGTAAAAGGTTAAAATTCAGCACATAGTTCTACAGGCTAAACTTTAAATGCTTAATTCATATTGCTAATTCAAGTGAACTCCAAAAATCTCTCTTTCATACATTAGAGGGAAATCTTTGGTATTAGGCATTTCGGGAAGTCTGTACCTCTCAAATACCTCAGCCAATGGGGAAAGAGAGAAGGGAAATGCAGCTGGGAAATTAGGATAAAAAGGAGGCTGCATCCTCCAAAAATTGGAGAGAGACCAGGGAATGCCCCATGGCCTCTCCCTTTATTCAAATAAAGTAAAAGGACTCCTCTGTCTCCTTTTTGGACATAAACCTCTGATGTTTGTGGATTAATTTTCCTGACAAACTGGGGGCTCATCCTGGGATCTTTCCACTGTCCGGGCGGTGGGCAGCGAGCGGAGCTGAAGGTGCGCCTCACCCAGTTTGGGTGATCAGCTCCTCTTGGTGGTGGCCGGCACTGGGCGATTGATTGGGTTCCTGAGACTGTCCAGAAGACAGACAAATGGTCTACCGGGGGGGGTCTGTGAAGAGTCCACAGGGAAGGACCACTGAAAATCTCACTGGTGAGTAAAATGGGATCTTTCGGGAGTAAACCTGGGAGGGCACCCATGGAGGGTTGCAAGGAGGGTTGCAAGGGTAAAGCTGGGAAGGGCCCCCAGCAAAAGGGATGACGATCCCACATAATACCCCCAGAGAGTCCCTCGAGGGGAATGCTGAGGTCTTAGAACAGATTATATGTTCACCCAGAAGTAACTATGGAGATCATGGTATAATATTTTTATTTTGTGTGGCCAGTGTATAAGTTGCCAGAGGGGCTTATATGGCCACCTTATGGAACAGATAGAATTTGTTTGTGTTGAATTTGTGGAGGTATTTAGAGGAGAATTAGAAAGGATGGATTGAAAGGGAATGTGGATTGATATGGACTAGACAAGCAACAGGAGAAATCTATGTGTTAAGAAAAAAGGGGAGGAAGAGAAAAACGGTGAGGATTGGGATGCAAGTCCCCTGTATCTTCACCTCCCAGAGCAAGGGGATCAGGGAAATGCTGTTCCTATGGCCCCACCTGAGAATAATGATGGTGTGGGGGCA